CCATCTACCTGGATCTCTCTCTCTATTTCAAATCCAGTTGCTTTCCCCCTAGTCCTCTCTGGACCTAGCTCTCCTCTCACCCTCCTCCACCCTGCTCTCCGTTCCTCACTAATCCACTTTATCCTGTTTGCGCACCAAAGCCGACCTAATTGGAACCTGCTTCCTTAGGAATTTAAAATCTATCCACAAAAGAGCAAATATACAACAAGCGGCCAACTTGACCATGAAACTCTGTATGACTACGAATCAGGTTATATAGAGTTTGGGTTTTATTGTAGACTATTTTCAAACTATTAATTTGTTTACATTTACTCTGATCCCTGAGACAATATCCAAGGATTGCCATCAGCAGTGTTCCTTCTGTGGAACTTCTGGAGATAGACATGTCTACTTGTTCTAGAACATCTCTCTGTAATACTCCATATGTCAGCGAAAAGGAATGAATCCCAATGAACATAGTGATTGATAAATAAACTGATAAATTGATAAATGGTGTTTTGCATGATGATGGTTTCCATCTTGCTGCCAGTTTTGCTTCTTACAACAAAGAAAACGGAGCAAGTTATTCTCAACTTCTCGTCATCTACCTGTGTTTAAAGGACAACTTTTATCCAATTTTCACTTTGTTTACTAAAAGTTTATTATATTACATGAAATAAAATGAAAGGTTTCCTCTAGCACCATGATCACTGTAGTGATTTAAAGTAGTTATGGTAATTGTAGTCTGTATGTGCTGCATTTTGCTTTGCGTTTAACAACTACACTTCCAGCGGCATCTTTGGGATGTCATCAGCCAGTGTGGAACTAGAAATGCAATCATTGGTTAGCGGACACTCTCAGCCAATGTATGTTGACCTCTGCAACTCTGCAGAATCCAAGAGTGCGTCACTAGACCACCAGGGAGCATCGGAGCCTGGCAAACCGTTACCAAACGCTTTGCCCCATTAGCGAGTAACTGAGCCAGAGTACTCCTGGCATCATAACTGGTTACATCAATAACCCTCCAGTTATATATTTTTTTGAATAATGTATATTGATTTTTTTATTTTTTTTTTAGAAAATTTCCCGTTGTATCTGACTGAGCAGCCATGTTGGATCATACTCTACTGTTATCTGACCAACTGCCGCTCAGCCTAACTTGCTGTGGCTGTGATTGCTCGGTGTAAACCTGCAGTCGGTCAGATAACAGTAGAGTCTGACCTAACATGGCCGCTCAGACAGAAAAACAGTGACATTTTCTTCCTCAAAAAAAAATAAAAAATCAATATACATCATTTTAAAAAGAAATCGAAACATTTCATTACATTTAATAAACTTCAGATAAGGAAAAGTAAAAATTTGATGACAATAGTTCTTTAAAATATATAATTATTTTTCCCCAAAATTGAGTCAGTAAAACGAGCCCAGAGCATCTCTCTGCAGCCGAACACTTAGTTACATTAAGTGTTACAAGGATCTGTTACTCTAAACCGACTATAGGCCTGCTAGGTAAAGCATACCGCGAGCAGGTAAGAGATGATCTATTCGCAGCGGCTGGAAAGAGATAACACAGGCATAAAAAAAACATAAGAACGCAAGCACTCGGACTTATTTTCAGGAACATAGAAGGGGGAGCGTGAAACACAACCTCTGCCTTTAGGGAAACAAGCAATGGCCTGGGGGGGAGTCTGTCTTCCTCAACCAATTACCATTAGACGTGAGACAATGAAAAGTGCTTGTATTGCTAAACGTGACAGATACACTGAAACATGTATTATTAACTATATGGACTGTGCCGAAATAAACGTAAAACCTTGGATCAGTTTTTCTTAATATCAGCTGTTTTGGGATCCGTGATATAAGGGCCCAATATTGGACAAGAAAACATATTTAGGGTGTACAGAAAAACCTGCAGCAATTTGGTTCATACCCATCGTAGTGTCACAGCTAGGTTTAGTTTTGGGTACCAAGCAGGACAGGTCCACCCTGAGCATGTTTCTATTCTGACAGAGTATTCCTGTTACAATCCGTTTTTGCCCTTGAAAATTCATATGAACAGGAAGAGACAGGAACGTTAGGACATTCCGACCCTTCATGTCGCTGCTTATAAATAACAGCTAGAAATTAAAAAATGTTTTGATCCACGTTTCCATACAAAAAAAAAAATGTGAAAAAACAAAACGTAACATACAGCTGTAAAAATGGCACACGTAATAACTACAGACTAAAGACGATTTCTGCTCTAAGTAAAATCACCTGCTTTGCAAAATGCTGGCTGAAATATGCCAAAGTTTTGTTTGCAAAGTTAATAAGGTTGAGTTGGTTTATCTAGAGCACAATGGGTCTCTTTTTAGAAGATAAACAGCACAGAACGCCGGGGATTTGAATTTCAGCGGCCAGGGCACAGGCTGTTTGCTCTCTTGGGAAGGAGACTCATTGTACATGCCAAAAGTTCCCATAGTAAAAAGGGGGCAGCGGAATTAATAATACACCTCTTTGTAGCCATTGTTAATAGATATTGGAATTGATCGGTTTCCAATTTCTCTTTTCTTTTTTTCAGCATGGACCTGGTACGGGATGTTTGGCTGTGAGCATTGAGAGACTGACACGCTAATCTGGGATCCATAAACCACGTTTCTCAATCAATATGCAGATGTACAGGTGCACTTCACCAATTTAAAAAACAACTTGCTTTCCATAGACGGTAAACACTGTAACATTTTACAGGCGTATAGTAAACGAGTATTGTCCAAGAATAAGACTCGGATTATACTCATTTATTTTTTTGGAGTTGAGATGGTAGTTCACGTATATTAATGAAAACAAATAACAGCTCACAAATCATCAAATCATTGCCCAGTGCTGCAAAAATGAATTCTATCTATCTATCTATCTACCTGTCTGTCTGTCTGTCTGTCTCTGTCTCTCTGTCTGTCTATCTCTGTCTGTCTGTCTGTCTATCTCTCTCTGTCTATCTATCTATCTATCTATCTATCTATATCTCTCTGTCTGTCGGTCTGTCTGTCTGTCTATCTATCTGTCTATCTATCATCGAGGCATGACGGAGATACACAATGGTAATTTCAGTATTTACTTCAATAAGTCAGGAGTTTTTGTCACTTTTTCGATCTCACCACAACTTTAACATTGCTCATATATCCAATCTAATGTGCATTTAAATTTTGAAACCTGGAAGACAAAAAATGTTTTTGCTGTGAAATGTGATGAGCTTTTATACAAGAAGATACCACTGCTCCGAGGTACAGCTTTACTGTACACAGAAACCATGTCACACATCCCTGTCGCAGCAATGCGAATGCGAATTCGCGTGTCTGCCCCTTGTATCTCCGAGCAGTCGTTGTTCGAGTAGTTTGTAAAGTGAGATGAGCAAAAGAGAGTAGTATGCATGTGTGGTTTGTCTTTATTGCACTGTGCTTTCCTTTTTGTAAGTACTGAAATCGAACTCAAATGTAATCTATTCAAGTAAATACGGGGTTTACACTTTAATTCCATCACAGATACATTGGAAACCAGAGCTGGATTCAGATTGGTTACTTGACATTCATGACCAATCATATTTACAGCTGTGAAACCATGGTAACCAAATGACAAAAATTAATACTAGCATTCCGTAAGAATCATTTTTTCAACTCAATAATAATAATAATAATAATAATAATAAAATGAATAGCATATTTACATTTGAGATCTAATGCACCATTGAATCTAATGCACATTCAAAGTTTAGAGACTTTATTTTGCCAATAAAGGTGCTCATTAGATTAGAATAAATTCGGGGTATTTATCTGTCACCATTCATAGGCTCGTGCTCTTGAAGGGCGGAAGACGGATTGAGCGAGAAGGTACATAACGGTGAAACAGTGGTTTAAAGATGTCTCCGGGATCCCAGGATAACATTATTAGCCTTCCCACACATTATTTATTGTTAATATTATATGCATTTTTTTTTTTATATTTTTGTTGGAGTTTTGTTCCACAGGAGTTGGACTACCAGAGATGGCCGGTTTCCTTTAATTTCAGATACAGTTAAATAAAAACACATGCATACACTGCTATGTATCTTACTAGATTTTTTTTTTTTAATTGTATATAGATCAAGATACTGTGTATATATATTTTATTTATTATTGAATTACTTATATAGCGCCAGACATATTCAGCAGTGCTCTTTACATGTATGGAATTCCGTTATTTATTATTATTTATTACGTTTTAAGGAAGGTTTGTTGCTGGAATAGAGAAGATCTGATCACTGCCATTCCGGTTGGTGTGAAATGACACACACACACACACACACACACACACACAAACAAACAGATACACAGACAGACACAAATACACACACACATTATGGCTTGCCCATCAGAGCTGCCATTAATTCTGTACCACTCTCCTTAACCACAAAGTAGACGAGTTTCTGTGGATAGTGAGACACTTTATTTTTCTTTACCCCCCTCGCACAGCATACACGTATGGGTAGAAAATAGAAGTAATTCCAGTAGCTGTTGTTCTTACTGCACCATTTGATGTGTACTGCTAGGTCACATGAAAATTCTTTTAACATCATAACCATGTAACCTGAGGCCAATACCAAACCGTTATCACCCGGCCGCACTAAGGGACTATTCCAGTCCGCACTGTTCCAGTCTAATTTTCCCAAACCAGGAGGATATACTGTGTCTTCTCACTCCAGAGTGTTGGCAGGCTCATCAATTGCTCCAGTGCACAGTGACAGCTGTACCCCAATAATACAAAGGCAGCACCTCAATACCGTCACAGATACATTTGAAACCAGAGCTGGATTCCGATTGGTTACGTGATATTCATGACCAATCATTAATACAGCTATGAAATCATGGTACCCAGATCATAAAAACTAATACTAGCATTCCGTAAGAATATTTTTTTCAACTCAGTAATTATAATAATAATAATAAAATGAATAGAATACTTTAAGTTCTTAAGATATTTAAATAGAAATGTTATAAATTATCACTATTGTTTTTACCTTTTTACCTCAGTGATCATCGATGGTAGTAATTGTGGCAGAATATCACTATATTAAGGAAATCAGAATCCAAGTTTATAAAAGGCCTTAACCAGCTGAACTTTTTATTATTCCCTTCACCTTATCAAACTGTTCTTGAATGTTATCATAGCTTGTAATGGCTGTTATCAAGTGACTGACCTTGAATATGTCTCAAAGGGACCTCAAGGTCAATCCTAGAAGATGACAGTTTGACTCTGAAGAGAATGCTGTTGAATGTAGCAGTCTTGGAAATAGCTTCTTCTTCTTGTTTCAACGTTCTGCTTTGTTCTGTGAATATTAAGAGGATATTAGTGAGAGACATGCAGCGTAGGCTATATACATTCTCCTGTTACACCACGGAGGTCCAGGGATTTAGAGCAGTAGGGGTTACAGACAGATGGAGACACTGCACAGTGGGGAGTCATAGGAAGGCTAAACGGATTAAACTAAAAAAAAAAACATATCAGGATGAAAGTTAAGGAGATTATAGCATGGGCTGCAGAATGGGGGACTGGGAGGTGACCTACAGAAGCAGTGCAGGAATCAGAGAAGCAGGTAATTTTATACAGGTGTAAAAAGGAAAAGATACAGACAGAATTCAGCTGATGGCGAGGAGGGTAGGATTATATTACCCTACTGGCTTTTCCTTCTCTCTTGCTACCTGTAATTGTTGAGCCACAGGAAAGAGACGGAGTAGGGAATAACATTTTTTTTTGTTTTTTGTTTTTTTTGTAACATATGGGAATAATAAAAACGAGATTCCCCCAGCGTTAAAAAATATATATATATCCTCACATCCTTTGAATTCATACAAATTAAAGAGCTTCTGCGTAAACCTGGGAGAAAGTGCTTATTCGTTTCAATTGAATATTTGAGAAGCAACTTCACAAAAGGACTATTGTTTCACCATATACAGGCTCTTTGTGGCTTATGCAATTGGTTACTGAAGGCTCGCGGTTCATTGAAAACCAGAGACAGAGCTTTTGTAATTCTAGATGTGACCAATTAAACAAGCTGCAGCTACCTCTTGGCTGAGCAGTCTGCATCCCAGCTAAATATGTAAAGAGGAAAGTCCGTCTCTGCATCCAGTCTGGGAGGGTGATGCAAACGGCGTAATTGCGTGCGGATTATTGGAAAACCAACTGACAGAGCCCAAAGTAGAGGCAATAGCAGCCGGATCAAGGCAGCGTCATTAGGTGTTAAGTTGAGGTGCTTTTAGGTTCATTCATTTTAATCCAGATCTCTCAGGGCTTCTAACAAAGTGCCTACACTTTGCGCTCAGACAAGGGAGCGCAGATAAACCGTACACATTTGCCTACGATCTAACGAGGAATATTCCTTTCAAAGGACAAAAATATGCCAACCAATGGAATACATCAGATCCTGAAGATTCAGTTTGGCCTGATCAACTGTGATAACAAGTATTTGACAGCTGAAGCTTTTGGTTTCAAGGTCTATGCCTCTGCTCCAAGCTTGAAAAAGAAGCAAATATGGACTCTAGAGCAGGATGAAGTAGACAGTTCAGTGGTCTATCTCAAAAGTCATCACCTGGCAAGGTACCTATCGGCTGACAAAGATGGCAAGGTGTCTTGCGACGCTGAAAAACCAGAAGGTGACTGTCGTTTCTCCATCACTGCCCAATCAGATGGGAGGTGGGCCCTCCAATCTGAACCCCATAAACGGTTCTTTGGGGGATCGGAGGACAAATTACAGTGTTTTGCCCAAACGATCACAGAGTCAGAACTCTGGGCTGTACATCTTGCCATTCACCCTCAGGCTAATCTCCTAAGCGTCAGCCGGAGGAGATATGCACATTTGAGCCAACAGGAGGATGAAATCTCTACAGACAGTAACATTCCCTGGGGTGTTGACTCCCTTATTACCTTAGTATTTCAGGACAAAAAGTACTGCTTGAAGACTTGTGACAACAGATACTTGCGGAATGATGGGAAGCTGGTTAAAGATCCTGATGACAGGACTGGTTACACTCTGGAGTTCAAAGCAGGGAAGTTGGCCTTCAAAGACTGCACTGGGAAGTATTTGACACCGATGGGACCCACTGGTACCCTGAAATCGGGGAGGAGCTCCAAACCTGGCAAAGATGAGCTCTTTGATCTGGAGGAAAGTCATCCACAAGTTGTCTTCATGGCGTCCAACAGAAGATATATCTCTATAAGGCAAGGTAAACAAATCGGGACACCTCCATAGGTCCTTTAACATCACCCCTATCCAAAACACAACATAACATTTAAACAACCACTCACAATGCTCATAATCGCCAAAAACGTAATTTTAGATACATAGGTATTTATGTATTGCTCATGCTAAGCTGTGATGTTTAATCATTTTATGGTCAATCGTACATCCATTTTTTTATATTCAGACAGAAATAATTATTCTTCTAATCCCTAATGTGAAAATAATTTATTTGGGTAAGTCAATAAATTGTGAATTATAAAGATTTGTTGAAAAAACTTCAAATTCTAGGCCAAAATATGCAAGTTGGAAAGATTCTCCAAGTCAACTATAATTTCAAGTGTGGATGTTTTACCGTATTTTGGGGGTAAATATTGCCCCAAATTCCGCAGATTATAGTACACTTTAGACTGTTAACACAAATGGTAACAGAATAACTCCCAAAATTTCGATAAGTGGTGTGATCAGGTACAGGGCTGTTCTGAGAAATTGTAGGTGACTTACTAAAAACTATTTATACTACTAAATTATAATTTAGAACAAGAACAATGTATCTTTTTATCTGATTTCTAAACATATTTATTGCAGTTTAAAGACACATTACTGGGAGTATTATTACTGTGGAGCTCTGTTATACACTCAGACACATTACTGGGAGTATTATTGCTATGGAGCTCTGTTATACACTCAGACACATTACTGGGAGTATTATTGCTGTGGAGCTCTGTTATACACTCAGCCACATTACTGGGAGTATTATTGCTGTGGAGCTCTGTTATACACTCAGACACATTACTGGAAGTATTATTGCTGTGGAGCTCTGTATAAACTCATACACATTACTGGGAGTATTATTGCTGTGGAGCTCTGTTATACACACAGACACATTACTGGGAGTATTATTGCTGTGGAGCTCTGTTATACACTCAGACACATTACTGGGAGCATTATAGCTGTGGAGCTCTGTTATACACTTAGACACATTACTGGGAGTATTATTGCTGTGGAGCTCTGTTATACACACAGACACATTACTGGGAGTATTATTGCTGTGGAGCTCTGTTATACACTCAGACACATTACTGGGAGTATTATTACTGTGGAGCTCTGTTATACACTCAGTCACATTACTGGGAGTATTATTGCTGTGGAGCTCTGTTATACACTCAGACACATTACTGGGAGTATTATTGCTGTGGAGCTCCGTTATACACTCAGACATATTACTGGGAGTATTATTGCTGTGGAGCTCTGTTATACACTCAGACACATTACTGGGAGTATTATTGCTGTGGGCTCTGTTATACACTCAGACACATTACTGGGAGTATTATTACTGTGGAGCTCTGTTATACACTCAGACACATTACTGGGAGTATTATTGCTGTGGAGCTCTGTTATACACTCAGACACATTACTGGGAGTATTATTGCTGGGGAGCTCCGTGATACACTCAGACAAATTACTGGGAGTATTATTACTGTGGAGCTCTGTTATACACTCAGACACATTACTGGGAGTATTATTGCTGTGGAGCTCTGTTATACACTCAGACACATTGCTGGGAGTATTATTGCTGGGGAGCTCTGTTATACACTCAGACACATTACTGGGAGTATTATTGCTGTGGAGCTCTGTTATACACTCAGACACATTACTGGGAGTATTATCGCTGTGGAGCTCTGTATAACATTACTGGGAGTATTATTGCTGTGGAGCTCTGTTATACACTCAGTCACATTACTGGGAGTATTATTGCTGTGGAGCTCTGTTATACACTCAGACACATTACTGGGAGTATTATTACTGTGGAGCTCCGTTATACACTCAGTCACATTACTGGGAGTATTATTGCTGTGGAGCTCTGTTATACACTCAGACACACCAACAATATGGAGCTGCTAGAAAATAGGGACATTGGGATAGAAAAGAGGGACATTAGGATTGGATTTGGGCCTAAAAGAGGACATTTAAAAATCAGAACATAGCCTTTGGGAGTTTACACAATTTAAACAGTGATTTGACAGAGGTAACCAACAAGTCCCTCACTACATGTTGTGGAACTATTACTCCCATGATACTTTGCAAGCTCGTAGACTTGTTGTTGATTGCCTGTTGTGGCGCTATGACTGCCATGATGCTTTGTTGACTTGCAGTCTGTCAATACATTATGTGAACGAAGATTACACACTATAGGTACTGCTTATATATTTGTTTTATAGATGCTTAAAGGAAAACTACAGCGTTAGGAATACAAATATGCATTTCTAATGCTATAGTGTTACCCTACCTGTTCTGATTATTGGGTCTACAAAAACGAGGTTTCCCTTTCCTTTACTCATCCAGAGTGCTGGTCTCACAGCAGTCGCCCCTCTCCATGGCTGAAATCATCAATACGGAAGCATTGAGAGGCTAGTGCTCATCATTGGCGGATCCAGGGGAGGGCAACGGGGCCCCCCACCCCAGAGAAAATAGTGAATCCGAGGCTCTCCCCTGTAGGCCCATGCAGGGCTGGTGCTATCCCTGCTGTTTGCCATCACGGACCGGAGGTCAGTGATCTCCCTCCCCGGCCCACAGGCACATTGCTGGGTGGCCGGCAGGGGAGAGAGAGAACCCGGGGGGGGGAGCTCGAAACCTGCAGCTCCGCCGGGTTTTCTTCTCGCGATCATGGAGCGTTGCCACGGTTACCATGGCAACGCTCCGTTCTCGCGAGATTGAACTCTAGTCTGAGCTGCAGGTTAGAGTTCACTCCCCTACTAGAACCACCAGGGATTGGAAGAGAAAGCAATGTCTCCCCCTCCCTCAGCAAAGGTAAGATGGGAGGGGGGACATTAGCTATATCTATTTAGCTATTATTTAATAATTAAATATATATATATATATCTTTAATCTGCCCCCCTATCCCCTCACACACTGCACCACACACAGCCCCCCCT